TAATCTTAAGGTTTTATAGATGAAGTATACATTTGTTCCGCTTCGTTGATTTTGGACGGAATAATAGCATTTTCGATTTTTAAAAGACCCAGATAACACGTACAAGTAACGTATTACCCTAGGAATGCTTGTTTATGAACCCTCTCTACACTGCGCACTAAAGTGTTTTGATTCTAAAGGGTTTTTGTGCAGCTAGAGTAATCTGACCTTACTTCTAAATTCCAACAAATAGAAATTTACGGTATATTAATCAAAATGTAAGCAATTCAAGTATGCATTTTCAAGGGCAAAGATAAATTAGTTGGAGAAGTGAAATACCTACAGTGGCTGCAACGTTATTGTTGACAAACCAATCGTGTAGAATCGTTCGTGTATCGTGCGTGATCGTTCGTGTAACGTGCAAGATCGTGCGTGAATCAGACTCAATCGTTTGCGTTTTTAATCGTGTGCGATCGTGTGTTTAGAAACGTGTAAATTTTGCTTTGTAAATATATAACGGAATGTTATTTATTAAACAAGCATTTGGCTTGTCTTTTTTTAAAAAAAAAAATCCAAATAAAATGAATGAAACGCAAGCAATATAGTTAGTCGTACAGTATCATGTTCTCGCCAAATAGCGCGACCTTTTGTGATAAACCGTACTTAGATGTTTAACTTTTTTTCTTCTCTGACCTTCATTCTTGTTTACTGCTAATAGTGGTCAAGATATTTTTAAAATCAATACATCAAAAATAAATATTTTTACAAATAAATAAACATTTATCAATGCTTACGAATATTTAGTCGGCGAATATACATGCACACGACATGATTTTCGGGACTTTGTTTCTCAATGCTTATCTCTGGAGCTTACTTTTAATATATTTTTTTTTTTTGTAATTTCTGCAAATAAAAAAATTGTTAAATAATTGGCTGGCTCATATTTAGAGATTCACAAACATTGAATCAATGGAAACCAGGGACCTATATACTAACGTTAGTATATAGGTCCCTGATGGAAACATATGGCATGTGTATGGCTACAACTTGTAACTTAAGAAATTCCATGCTTGCATTTTATTTTTAATTGTATTACCCTTTCTGCACAATATTAATGAAATAGAATTCATTCAAATATCCATACCCCCTTTTTTTTTATTATATATTGATAATTCGTTGAAATCTAAAATCAGTATTAAGCCGTATTTCTTATGTCGGATAATTACCTTAATAATTATATATTTATAATTCAAAAATAATAAATAAGTCTAAACATGTATTTGGTTCCAGAAATATCCATACCCCCTTTTTTATCATATTGATAATTCGTTGAAATCTAAGATCAGTATTAAGCCGTATTTCGTTTTGAAAATATGGATTCTTAAATATTTTGAACTATTTTGAGTTAAGAATCGTGCGTTTGCGTTAGCAATCGTGTAAGATCGTGTAACGTGTAGAATCGTGTGCGTGAGGGATCATTAGTGTAACATTTTTATTCTTGCGTTAATCGTGCGGAATCGTTCGTGTAACGTGATCGTTTGTGTAAGTTGTCAACAATTATGTTGCAGCCATTGTATATTTTTCAATGGAAAATACACTTATTTGGTGTAGATATGGTTTTCAAATAAAAAATAATAGATCGGGCTTACCAATACAGTTCTTTAATGTTTTCAAGCATATTGAAAAAAAAATAAATTAATTAATCAAAAAGCAAAATGATAGCTAAGAAATTTTCAAAACATTAAAAATACAAAGGCATTATATACCAGGTATATTAAAGATTATACAGTGATCTTGGTCTTACCGGAATTTTTAAGTGCAATGATTTGACGGGCCCTTTTTAGAGACACCAACTTCACACTGATCTTGAATGTTTGACATTTTGGATTTGGTTTGAACCCTGAGTGAATCCTACACTACCCAAATGAGATTTTTTCTGGATTTATTAACATTATCATCATCATCTTCATTTCTAATGGAGTATATAGATAGATCCAGTTGACTCTGGCTACTCGCAGCTAATGGAATATTTTGGGTGTATATATTATTAACTGACCTTTATTTTGAAGTTTCACTTTAAAGTAAATTATAGACTATAAATGTGTAAAATAAATTGTAAATGCAATTACAAAAAAAAAAAAATACATTAAATTAAAGTGCTATTTAAATATCGAGTGCATTCAATATGAAATTGTCTTTCAGTAATGAGACAAAGAGGACGTTTCGCCGGATTTTCCCTTTATATCTCCTACACACCTCACAAAGAGAACGGCCATCTTTGTTACAGGAACACACTTCCATTGCCTCCCTTGGAGTTTAATACAACGTGTATTGGATATGGTCGTTACGTCATCTATTACAATGAAAGACTGGACGGAGTTACCTACCCTGAAGGATACCAGTTAAACATATACACACAGTTATGTGAAGTCGAAGTAAAAGGTTTTAATTTACCACTTGTTTTTGTTTTTTTTAAGTTATCAAACCATTTAAGAGGTGAAAACAAACCGATTCCATCGCACTTACGTGGATATATAGGAACATAATACGCGAGTTTCAAGATTGTAACTCTCCTCCGATAGAGGCGCAAAAAGTATCCATTTCAGCACGGAGGTGGGACAGTTTGTTTCTGTATACAAGCGTGCATAAATAAATGAACGATGTTTATGGCTTTAAAATTTATCTAATGTTATAGAAAGATAAATATGTTAAGCAGTGATGCATTTTATGATTTTATCCAGCTCAACTGTGTATATTTATAAATCTACTTTCAATTATAGGGTACATGTACTTGAAAACGAAATAAACGTCGTGGTCTCTATAAAAGTAAAAGATTTTCTTGATTGTACAAACATTCGCTAAAAAGTTGGTTTTTTGAAGTTATACATGTAATAAGGTAAAAAATTAATGTGTAAATTAGATTGCCGACATATAATGACCAGATTCATGTTTACCGTATTTATTAGAGGTCCATATATCTCTTCCATCGTCTGAAAAGTCTCGCATCCACTTAATTTTCTTTTTTGTTCCGATTTTTTTTTTGCTTTAAAAATGACACCTTTACTGTAATTCGGTTATTCTCGAGTTGAACAGTGCATCCTTACAATTATATAGTTACGATAAACCAGTATATCGATGATGCGATATATCCAATAATAAATATCTGTCCCACCTGTTTGTTTACGCGGCAACCAAACTCCCCTCCTCAACGAAAGAGCGCACCAAGGGAGATAATCTCAAAACTTGCGTATTGTATGCTGCAAGACGCTATACATATTTGTAACAGCAGAAAATAATCAAAATTAAAACAGAAGTACAAGCTCCATATAAACAGGGTATATTTACTGAATTTTACATTTCTTACATTAATAATGAAGTGTCAAGAAATTGTCTTTAAAGAAAGGATCACAAAGAAGGAATTTGATAAAATATCTTGATTTTAATCACTGCTTTTTGAATTGTATAAGAAGACTGATAAGAAAACGCTGTGTTATGGCGTAAGTACATTTGATAAGCACATTTAAGAAATGTATTTCATTTTTGAAGATTCGTGAGAACATGGACTACGACGCTTCACGCAGGCATATTTCATGAAGCGTCACTTCATGATAAATATGCCGGCGAGAAGAGGTGTAGTTCAATGTACCTCATGGATCTTCAAAAATAAAATTCATTTGTTATATTTACTTTATTTTCCGATGAGTTGCCACAAATTATGCCATTCAACTGTCATTTTAAAAGCAAAACAGTTCGCACTATAGTTTTTCACGTCAAGTACGGCATTATGACGTAACAATGGATATATTCATGCTCATCCATGGAAGTTTATGAGAAATTGAACAAATTTCTAATTTGAAAGGGATGTTAAATGGAAATGTAAATATTATAACTTGAATGAAATTAAATTTTATTTTCTTAAAAATATTATAAAACCAAAATGTACAAAATGGAGAATCAATTACGTACAAAGTAAAATTTGCTTTCTGATAATGTTAGCTTCTTCCATTTTTTCAACAAACAAAACTGTTTAATAACCTCTTTTTCCAGGATGTGCCAAGGCAGGAGTATATGGGATTAATTGTAATTTACCTTGCCCGGGCAATTGTCAAGAAAAGAGATGTAATATTGTGGATGGAACGTGTTTGGGATGTATTCTTGGATGGACAGGAGACATGTGTAATATAAGTGCGATTTCGATCGTATTGATATCTGATTATTTTTTATGTTTTTTTTTTTTTATAAAATTGAAATTTATCAAATGATAATTCTAACATTTACATTTGATTTCTATTTTCGTTCCTTCCAAAGAATGTCCGTGGGGATGGTATGGCCTTGCGTGTAAAGACAGTTGTGCAGGACATTGCAGAGGGAACCAACCCTGTAATCACGTGACTGGTCAATGTGAAGCTGGTTGTGCAAATGGATGGATGGGGAAGTTATGCGATGAACGTAAATATTGATGAAATTTCAGTTTGTTTATTTAAATACAAATAAGTTGATATAGTCCAGCATTAATAGGATAATTTCCAGTTAAGTGTGGGCTTTTAGTTAGGCCTTGCATCATCGACGTTACCTAATTAGCTTCTGAAATTTACACAGCTTTCGTTCACTATTGAAATATTCTTAGGATAGAAATTAGGCCAATGTCAACTGGTGTAGCAAATAGCGAATTAAGAAATAAATGTAATATTTTTTCCTTTGATTGAAGTATCAAAGAAAAATCTGGACGGAAAACGTAAAATCTGAAAGAGTCTGTTTCCGACTGTTTAAGATTAGGAAGAATTCCGTCCTCATTCATTCGGTGTCGTTTTTCTCGATCATTCGTTTCCCAAGAATTAACACATTTCCCAGCTTTGGTAGCATAAAAACATTTCTTTATAGTTCTATTGTTCATACCAGTTATCTCAAAGACATTCATTTAACATAAGTATGCTGATTTCTTTCATTCTTTCCCGTAACTGTATTGTTGTCATGCAGACGATTTGGTTTGTTTAGCAAAGGGGGATAATTCAAAAAAGAAACGAAAGTAGAAAATAAGTCAGGAACGTAACAGACAGGTTTCAAAATTCAGGAAAATATCTATTAAAGTAAAACTATTTAATTATTCCTTCAAAAAGTAATCTGGAAGCGGGTAATATACACGTAAAGACAGCAAAAGTAGTTCCGGCTGCTTAGTGCAAGCGAACTCTAGATTTTATTGATGCAGGTATCAAAACAATTTTTATCCAATCAGAATCAAGTATCTTATAGAAAATAAATGATTTAAAGACGTACAACACACTGGGGGAGATAACTCTTGCGATTTCAATTGAACGTTTGACGTGACGTGAAGTTTAACGTCAAAACGACGAGTAAAACGATCCCGATGTATATCAATCATGAAAGAAAATTGGGATATGCGGCTTGGCTGTGATTGTGCGTACCATACTCAATCAATAATTTTTTTTTTTAATTAACCCGATTAAACTCCGTAAAAAGCAAGACATAAAATACCATCCTTTAATGTTTATTTCATTTCATTTTATGTACAATAAATTGTATTTTTGATCAAAGCGCAGCATTTTTTTTTTATTCTGAAAAATTTATTTTACATTGCCGAAATTCTCATTATGTACAATATATTGGCTATATAACATTCCGAATAATGGTCTTCATTACAATTTGTGCATACACGATATAAATATTGTTTTTCTTCTTTAATTAATTAAATAAAACAACAATAAATAAACAATAAACTTTTTACAATGTGAAATTGATGTTGTTCTCAGACCCTTACCGATCAAAGAGGAACAACTCTGAAAATGTAGGAGATGTTTATTTTCCTCCCTTTATTCACGGTTTTCCACAGAATCAGATACATTTACAGCAAGACCTGATAAATCCGAGAATTGAATACTATAGACCTCATATACACAATGTAAGTAAAGAATTGAAAAGAATTGTTCACTTGTATTGAAATTATCTGCATTTATGAATATCTTATTGCAGCAAATCGTAACTTTGACTGTCTGTCAACAATGTCGGTTCGCATTTCCTCGAATCTAAACAAAACGTAGCCTATAAGATTTTAAAAAATATCAATGTGGGATTTCATATAAATTGAAATAGATGAAGAGTTTAATGTTTGATATTTTGAAGTTAATGCGGACGAATACGGAATTTTCATTTTAACTTTAGAAGCGACGACATTGAAAGAAATGCGTACAATATCATGAGGGGTGTATGTACATCTAATGCAAATGTCGATGCATCCCCACGGCCACATACTGTCTCGTTTGAAATAATGACATGAAAGAAACTACAATTATTCCATTTATATCACAGGAGAGTTGAATATACACCATTTTTATAATGAATAAAATTAAAGAAATAAAATTAAAAATCAACATATTCAAGTTCAATAAAACTTGAATTCGTATCCAGGTTTCATGTGATATGGAATGCATAACGCATACGTATATGGACTAAACACTAAAATCTTTCAGTAATTTTTTCCTGATACATATAAAAAGAGTAGTCATTATTTATTCTGCATTTCAGGAATTTAAAAACTAATGCATACCTCCAGGATTCTTGACGAAATACCAGTATATTTGCACTGTAAACGACGTTTCGTCAAATGCTAAGGGTCTGCGACGCAAAAAAGGAAGGGATGGGGGTGATAGGGGTATTCAAAAATTGCCTAAAAATCTACATTTAAATACGCTTTACATATGAGAACTTTTAAATTTGTAAGTTAATATATTTTTGAAGCAAAAGCAATATTCCAATTTAATTTTTTTAATGTGTATTTGTAGATTCATAAAACAAAGTGATCGACCCCCGTCTGAAAGACGCGCGGGAACGTGATTTATTGAGAAAGGGGGAGGGAGTAATTTTCCGCTATTAAATCAAAACTGGTCGAACAAAAATTATACAAAAAATTATGAAGATTATTTTTACTACCAGCAACCTAAAGAAAGTTTTTTACCAAAATTAAACGACAGGTTTTTTCACAAAAAAATTTTTAATTTGAAAAATACGCAATTTTCAAGGCTTAGAAAATTCATAGTTTTTCAGTTTAAGGTCTTTAAAAATTGTTTTGATGATATGTATATCAAAAAGATGACTATATTTTTGTGTTAAATGGTTAAAGGAATAAGCCAATGAAATTTGACATTCATATCTAACCTGGTTTTATTGAAAATCAAGGTTAAAGTAGTTCATTGATTAAAAATGTTTTCTCCTTGTAAACAACTAAAGGGGGGTAACTTTTGGAAGTTCCTGTCCAAAAACCACTCGAACGATTTTGTCAAAAATATGTATATATGCAGTAGATATAGTCATGTACTAAATATACAAAAATAACGAAAATTAAACGACAGGAATTTTTTGGGGTAGGTGTGTTGTACATCCTTAAAAGTTATCACACGGCACAGAGACGGAGCTTTAGTCGTCTCATCGTAGTCAAGAATTTAAAGTTTCTGATATTATTCATTTCTAAACCAATTTATTCGTCATTTGACAGAAGCTAGGTACGTTGCGCCGAGAATGCCACGCCTTGACTGAAAGTCAAAGCTAACCTGAGAACTGTAATAACATAATATGCAACATGTAGTATTAATTTGATTTCGAGTTTTTTTTTTTTACACTTGTGAAATTTTAAGCAAATCATCCGAGTCCCTTAGTTATTGTATCTATACAACGTCAAATCTTTGTACTTGTAAATCAATAACAAAAATAAACATCAAACAACTTAATGGTATGAAAGTCCAGATGACTTCAGTTTTTCCATCGTCAACTTTTCTTATTTATAAAGTAATATTCCAGGGGTCCGTGTTTTATGTCCTGTAATATTAACATGTATATTATTTGCAGAGTTTTAAAAGAATGATCTTGTTTTCTTTCTTCGTTTTTGACACGTTTCAAAAATTTGTTACAGGTTCTTGAATAAATGTAACATACCGCTTGTTTAAATTAAAAAAAAAGGCCTAAACTTAATTTTTTGTACAGTAAATGTGTTATTGTCCGAACATTTTAGTTTAAGTTTACATTTTTAGCTCACCTGAGCCGAAGGCTCAAGTGAGCTTTTCTGATCACATTTTGTCCGTCGTCCGTCCGTCCGTCCGTCTGTCTGTCTGTCTGTCTGTCTGTCCGTCTGTCCGTCTGTAAACTTTTCACATTTTCTTCTCTCAAACTTCTTCTCAAGAACCACTGAATGGCCAATTTTGACCAAACTTGGCACAAAGCATCCTTGGGTACAGGAAAATTTAAATTCTTAAAATAAAGGGCCAAGTCTCTTCACAAGGGGAGATAATCAAGAAAAGACAAAAATAGGGTGGGGTCATTAAAAAATCTTCTTCTCAAGAACCACTGGGCCAGAAAAGCTGAAACTTATGTGGAAGCATTCTGGGTTAGTGTAGATTCTAAATTGTTCAAATCATGACCCCCGGGGGAAGGGCGGGGCCACAATGGCGAATCAATTTTTACATAGAAATATATAGGAAAAACTTTGAAAATCTTCTTCTCAAGAACCAATGGGCCAGAAAAACTGAAACTTATGTGGAAGCATCCTGGTATAGTGTAGATTCTAAATTGTTCAAATCATGACCCCCGGGGGAAGGGCGGGGCCACAATGGCGAATCAATTTTTACATAGAAATATATAGGAAAAACTTTGAAAATCTTCTTCTCAAGAACCAATGGGCCAGAAAAACTGAAACTTATGTGGAAGCATCCTGGTATAGTGTAGATTCTAAATTGTTCAAATCATGACCCCCGGGGGAAGGGCGGGGCCACAATGGCGAATCAATTTTAACATAGAAATATATAGGAAAAACTTTGAAAATCTTCTTCTCAAGAACCACTGGGCCAGAAAAGCTGAAACTTATGTGGAAGCATTCTGGGTTAGTGTAGATTCTAAATTGTTCAAATCATGACCCCCGGGGGAAGGGCGGGGCCACAATGGCGAATCAATTTTTACATAGAAATATATAGGAAAAATCTTTGAAAATCTTCTTCTCAAGAACCACTGGGCCAGAAAAGCTGAAACTTATATGTAAGCATCCTGGTATAGTGTAGATTCTAAATTGTTCAAACCATGACCCCCGGGGGAAGGGCGGGGCCACAGTTTGGAATCAAAGTTTTAGATAGAAATATATAGGAAAAAAATTTGAAAATCTTCTTCTCAAGAACCAATGGGCCAGAAAAGCTGAAACTTATATGGAAACATCCTGGTATAGTGTAGATTCTAAATTGTTCAAATCATGAACCCTGGGGGAAGGGCGGGGCCACAATTTGGAATCAAAGTTTTACATAGAAATATATAGGAAAAATCTTTGAAAATCTTCTTCTCAAGAACCACTGGGCCAGAAAAGCTGAAACTTATTTGGAAGCATCCTGGTATAGTGTAGATTCTAAATTGTTAAAATCATGACCCCCGGGGGAAGGGCGGGGCCACAATGGGGAATC